AAACTCCCTTTCCCACCTCTCCTCCCCCTCCTTACCCACCCCATACACCCCACCCTTCCCCTCCCCAGTCTCAAAACCCTCCACATGTGCATTTCCCGAGAACAAACTAGCCACCTTATTCTCTTCAACATCAGTTTGCGCGATCTCAAGAAGTAAAGCCGGGGAGATGGTGATATGATGCACGCCAGCTAAGGCGAGCACCTCATCGATGTGTGTCAAGCTTGCGGGGAGGACTTGTGTGCGCGTGTTGTTGGTGGAGGAGTAGTGGTTTTGGGCTGCGAGGCAGAGGAGGGAGGCTTTGTGTTTGCGTTTGTCGATGAAGCTGGTTTTTGTTAGTTTGTTTCCTCGCTTCTTTTCTTCTCCTTTCTCATTGGTATTCACGCCCAAAACATCAAGAAAAAACAGAAAAAAGAAAGCAGAACTTCATAACAGGTCAAGTGCGTCAAAGAGAGAGAAAGAGAGAGGGGGAAAACATACCCCTCCTCAAAATGCACCTTCAACTCATTAACATACGGCGCAATATACCGACACCCCACCTCGCCCGCAAGAAGCACCTGCTCCATCACAAACAGCGTCGTGGCAAGGGTACTAATGCCTTCTTTCTCAAGCACCCGACATGCCTGGATCGCCGCCCAGGTCGAGGGGATCTTGATGCAGATTCGGCTGGTGTCGATTGCCGGGGAGAGCTTTCGGGAGAGGGATATAAGTCCTGGTGTTGTTAGTTGTCGGTTTGCGATGGAGGGTGTTTGGGGGGAGAGGAGAAGGGGAACGAGAGGGGAAGAGGAAGGAAAGAAGTACGTTTAGCGTTTGATATCGTTTTCTCCGTATCGTTTGCGTGACGGGGGTTGGTTTGGATGTGGATGTAGCCTGTTATGTGGGGGTATATCATATGTTGAAGTTTAAGCATCTATACTCCTCGTTAGTCATGTCGATAATCCCGTCATCTTCCTTTCTGCTGGTGTTATATCGTTTGCCTCTTCCCCCAAAAAGGAAGCCATCGTGCGTAAAATTGAAGTTTGAACTTCTTCTTCTGAACAGCCTCTCCCTAAAAGTCGATTTGCACAAATCAAAGAAAACAAAACAACCCAGAAGATCAAGGGAATACGTACAGCAATCTCCCCCCCCAACTCCCTCTCCCCAACCCCAGGATACGTCCCAGCACGTATAAGTTCCCTACTTAACGCAACGGATTCCCTGATCAGACCCGCATGAACCGGTTTGAGGAGTTCGTTGTATGCTATTGCCTAGGATTTATCAGTATTCCAAATTCCACGAGATTCCACCAGAGAGAGAGAGAGAGAGAGAGAGAGAGAGAGCGTGTGAGAGAGGGAGAGAGAGAGAGGAAAGGAGAGGAAAGGAAAGGAAATACCTGATTCGAAGTACAATCCACAAAAGGACCTAGGGATTTCGCTACTGTAATTTTCGGTAGGAGGTTAGTTTGGTTGTTTGAGTTTATTCGTACAGACAAGAAGTTTAGGATAGCTCATATAGAAAAAAGTAACGCGAAGATACAACACCGATCGATCGAACGAGACGTATTCAGGAATAAAGGAAATAAAAATAGAAATCGAAATCAAAATAGAAGAAAAAATACCTTCAACATCCAACGTATCACAATCAACCCGACTCTTCCCCCTCAACCACTGCAACATCGTCTCCTTCTCCTTTTCCTGTGTCGCCATATCTCCTTTCCTTCTTATCCTCCTATTCTTCCTTCTTCCCTTTTCTTTTCCTCTTCCCTCTCCCACTTTCCGCACACACTTTTTAACTTAACTTAGTACAAAACTCCGCAAAACCACAACCCGGAATCCAATAAATCCCTTTCTCAAAAGACCCCTTCAAAGAACCCAAAACAAAAGACACCAAAAGATAAAGTTCAATATCCAATCCCCTCTATCAGAATTCTCCCCGTGTTATGAGATGATGCTATAATATACCATCCTTCCCCGCATGCCGGGTGCAGTGCGGTGCGTTGTCGCATCTCATCCCATCCCTACCTATCCCCCTCTTCTCCTCCCCCACTACTGCACTTCAACCAGGGAGGGGAAACTTACCCGAACCCGCCCAGCCAGTCACAGTCTTCTTTTCCAATTCTTTTTGGTTTGGTCCAATCAGCATCTACTCTATCACGGAAATGGGGTTACTGAACTGCACTCGAGGGTGCGAGTGGACAAATGTGTAAGGTACACGAATTTGTACATGACAACCCCTTCGCAAAAGTAAAGTAGCAAGAAACAAGGGCCATCTACTAGTGTGTTGCAGGGTATTTTATAAGGTATTTTATATGTGAAGTGCTTTTTCCCTCCCACACGTTGCGAAACATCTTGCTACTTTTGCGAAGGGACTGTACTGTAGGGATACCCCGCTTTATCCACTTACACCGTTGTACATGATACTCAAATCGACTGTCGAATCTCAAATATCGAAACTACCAGTACACACGGAAGCGATTCAGATTCAGATTCTCCATAATAGCTACCTATACCTACCTGCCTTGACTTCTCCCTTCCCTCTTACACTCCCCAGACCGTGTAGTAAATTCAAAGCACGTTCCGAAAATGCCCCACGAGTTTGCAAAAGAGAGAGAAAGTATTCTTGGAGTACATTATAAAATTATGTACAGTAACTAGCAAACCAACAAATCGCACCTCCCACCCCACAAAGCCTACCTAGAATGGCAAAAAACAACTTTTATGATTTATCAAAAAATCCTATCCCAGCAACTGATCCATCCATCCTTTCCCATCACTATGGAATCTAATCCAGTGGGATACCCTCGTACTCAGCGAAACCGAGGGAGAGGTTCATGTTTTCTACAATCCCACAAAAGTTAGTAAAACAAGCACCCAAGGAGAAAAAGCGAGAGTGCTCAGGGGGAAAAGGGAGAGGGTTCGAGTGAGAGACGGAGAAAAGAAAAAGAGCAGACTTACGCAAACACTGCGTAGCAGCCCCCTTCAACAAATTATCAATAGCCGCACAAACAACGACTCTCTTCCCCGAACTATGCACTCCAAACCCGCCAATCTCTACTCCATGTTTCCCACTAATCGCCTTGACACTCGGTGGTTCGCCCGAGACTTTAACCAACTTCTCACCAGCGTATCGCTCCTGGTATAGCTGTCGAATATCGCGGCTGGACATGGTATCCTTCAAGGGGATACTAATAGTGTGGTGGATACCCTGGAACCACATGCCGACGTGGGGGATGAATGCCACCTCCACACCGAGCTGGTTACTTACCTCTCGCTCGTGGATGTGATCGGTCAAGCTGTAGGGGATGATGTTATCCTTCAAGTTGTCAACGTCGTTCTTGGGGCTGGGCTTTGTGCCGGCACCCGAGTATCCAGAGACACCAAAGACGGTTGGTTGACCACCGAGGAATGGTACTAATGGGGCAATACCAAGCTGAGCAGCAGTAGCATAACATCCTGGGTTGGAGATACGAGTAGATTGTGCGATGTTCGATCTTGTCACGAGTTCGGGAAGACCATAGGTCCATTTACTATCGAATCTGTAGTCGGCAGATAGATCAACAATAACACTGTTGACTGGACCTTTACCCTCCTCGACAGCATCTACAAAAGGCTTGCATACTCCGTTAGGAAGTGCCATTACCCAACAGTCAATCTCTCCCTTTTCTTGCATGCGGCGAACATCTTCTGGTGACAGATTCTCGTAGGTAATTTCCCTCTTGGAGTAACCCTTGAGCTTCTGGCCCGCAAGCTCACGGGAAGAAACGTGACGGAGATCCATGTTAGGATGGGAGTTGAGAAGCGAGATTAAGGCCTGACCAGTGTAACCTCGCGCACCAATGAGAGCAACTCTTGCAGGTTGAGTGTTTGACGAGTTTTTGTTGCCAAACGGAGGGTTGGGGTTAGTGGTAGTTGCATATCCTCGAGTTGCTGAAACAATCCGGGGAAATGTTCTACGTAAAGCGTTTGAAACTGGGCGTGCAGAAGTCGAGAAAGCTCGCGCTTGTTGCTTTTGTGGTGCGCTATGGGCAGATAATCCACTGGATGCCTCCTTAGCGGCTCTGTGAAGTCGTGCTTCCAGGTTTGCATCGCCAAGCATCGAACGACCATGTCTAACGAACTCAGTCATGAGCTCTTTGACCTCATCGCCGCTCTCAACGCCGTACCAAAACATGACCTCTCCGTTCTTGGAGATACTGCCATCAGATTTATCAAAGAACCAAGTCAGGTTTTCGTCATCCTCCTTGACAGTCCAAACGAGTTTGGGGTGATCCTTCTTGATTGCTGCAAAGACGTTATCCGCGATATTTGTGAGCCATCCAGATTTGGTGATGGTGAAAGTAGCAAGATTGGCAAGTTTGGTTGATGCGGAAGGAGGTGAGACAATTGCCAAAGCATCCATAGCATCATCAAAGTAGGCATTGAAGTCTCGAGATTTGAGTCCATCCACATATCGATCGACGGTTGCTCTAGCATCTAAGCCTTCACGATCTCGGACAAGAACATCCTTCAATTTTGGAATATCCGTAAACTCTCCCAGGCTTGAGATGGTATTCAGTTTGTTTCCTCGTCGAATAAGTGTTCCAGCACCACTATCTGTGAACAATTCTTTTTGAAGGTCAGCTGGGTGGATGATGGCCACACTGGTCGTTCTTGGTAGACCATCAAGTAAATCCTTGATCTCCTTGATCTTTAGTCGAGTACCGTATCTGCACCACCATTGTGACATGAGAGTCTCATACTCCTCGTCCAAGTTGATTGCGGAAATCTTTTCATTGGTATCGGCATTGAAAAGTCCACCCTTCTCGGAAAGGTATACAATCTTCAATGGTTGAAGAGCTTTAGCGAGCTCTCCAGCAGCAACATCCGCATTTACGTTCAAAACTTGTCCCTCTGGAGTCTCGGCCATGGAGGTCAAGATTGGCAGACATCCTGCGTTAATGGCGGCCTGGATTGGATCCTTGTTGACCTTGTTGATTCTGCCAACCAAGTCATATTTCTCCTTGTCCAAAAAGTCGGCACCAAATACACCACAGGTAATAGGACGAGCACGAACTCCCATCTCCTCTAATTTCTCGACCAGCTTGAGGTTTTCCTCTAAAAAGAGCCTTCTTGCGACAGCCAGTGTTTTTCCATCCGTTACGCGAATCCCCTCCTCAAATTGGGGCTCGACCCCCGCATCTTCCAGAAGCTTGTTCAATTGTGGTCCAGCACCATGCACAACCACTGGGAAAAGTCCAACATGGTTGAGGAATGCAAGGGCAGAGGTGAGAGATTCGAGATGTTCAGTAATGATAGCTCCTCCAACCTTAATAACCGCAAATTGTTGCGACGAGACGGATGTGAAGTGAGACAAGTATTGCTGAACCTCTCTCTTGGAGCCAATGTTGCTGAGGAGTTGCACAACGGTCGATCGAGTAGAAAGATTGTCGGTGGATGGAGCTGAGTAGGCTCGTCTTTGGGAGAGTGCTGTGGAAGCTGCGGCTTTTGGGAGAGTTCGAATGGAGGTTGTCGAAAGTCGAGAAATGGTGTGTGCCCTGCGGGTCACAGCACGAACTGCCAACATTTCGAGAATGGGCTGGAGTGGAGATTGAATTTATATTAAAGAAAAAACTTCCACCGGCTCCCGCAGAGCAACGAAAGGGTTCAATGACTTTCCCAGGCAGGTATTTTGTGTGTGCGAGAAATTACTTCATGGAACGGCGGGGTGGAAAGCTCGAAAATGACGCAGACCTAGTGATAAAGACAGGCAAGTTAGCGTTGGTTGGAATAGCTTCAGCCGGTCAATTGAGCTACAGAGAAACAGTGAAGGCTCAGCTGTGGAGGCCGGTAGGAAATCATATTGCTCATCCTACCTTGGATCTGTTTTCGTTGCACGAGTATTCGCATGGAACTGGGACCGCGAGAGCTTCAGAGATATTCGCTCGCCAGACAACTTTGCCCTTTCTCGCTTTTGCAGGTGTGGAGCCACGAGCACTGCAGGGCCGATGATCGGCTCTTGGGATTGGTGGTTGACTGGCTGCACGACGGCGCATTGGTGCACGCCAAAACTCTTTCCCCGCCAGTGCAACCTTGGAAGTGCGAATTTGATTTTTTGCGCTCACATGTACAAGGAACCCGGACAGAAAAGACGTCAAGAAAAATATTTTCCAGTAGAGTACATGCTGACCAGCATCCAACCACTCAGCTGCCATGCCAGAGAATCAATATGCCAGCGGAACATGGCAATCCTCTGATGTCCTCATATGGTGCCATCTATTCATCAGTCCTTGGCACCGAGAGAGCATCAAATGAGATATAGATTGTGTCAGAAACTCTGTTGCGCCAGAAGTGGTGAGAAGGGTGCCTGATGTACCAGAGTACCTAGTCGAAAAGAGGGGAGTCGAGAAGAGTCTGAAAACTTGCCCCGGTACAGTATAATATATGGATGGCAATCTAAGGAAAGGGGGGTAGAGTAATCATTGTATATGCTGGTGAAAAGAGAGGTTGGCTTCCGTATCTTCATTGCAGTCTGCGTAGAACACAATTACTTACCCACAAGTACTTACCCATAGCCATGCAATGCAATAAGTTGAATACAAAATTCTCACGCATCGAGAATCTATCACTTTACTATCCCACTTACCAAAAGGTTAACAATAGACAATCGCTTTCACAAATTGCGAACATACACATAGCATCAAGCGAAATAAGCTCATGTCATCAATGTCCATTATACCGTCGCTCAAATCCTACATGATACAAATCCCATTGAATAGGATGCCACTTCCAATCTCAAGTGACAGAGCCCGAAAGTCCCTCCCAACCCCAATGGTAAAGTGAAGCCCTCGAGAAACCAACGTTAAAAAATCTCAAAAAAAGAACTCCATGTGCTAACCATTCGTTGATCGAGTTTTCTCGTAGCCAGCGAGTGCCGCATGCAGAAAGGATCAAGAAAAATCCCAATGCCCTCACTTCATATGTAAAAAGCTCGAAATCATTTTCCTCCAGTAACCGCGTCGATTCAATAATCATCACGAATCTATTTGGGTCTGGTGGCAACGACTAGACGAGTGTTAGTACTTTCCATAGGACTAAAGCAGGAAAGGTTTAACTTACCAGCTGGAACGATAATGATGACAAGCAAGATGACGATACCAGCGATCAGGCACATTCTCATCTTCATATCCTTCCACCACATTTGTCTTTGAAACAGTTAGCAATTTGCCCAAAATCAGATGATGCGCGTCGTTCTTTGGTATTCCGAGAGTCCTCAAAATACCAATCCCAAGACGAGTAATCAAGTCTACTTACTTTCTGACTCTGTTGGCGCCTCGTCGGAATCCTTGAGCGGATACAGCCAAGTTGTCGGTCTTATCTTGGAGGGAATCAAGACGCTCGCCACGCTGTGAAACCTTGTTGATGTTCTCGCGCATTACACCAACTGTGTCGTCGATTTGCTAGAAACCCTGAGTTAGCAATCGCATATACAATGTTGAGTTGTTCCAATTGATGGGCCAGTGTTCCAGGTAGTCAGTCGGGATCAGTTGCTAGGTTGAGGTATGCTTGAACTTGATAATTTGCACAAGGCCAAGGGAACAGCAGTTGTCAATCCTGTCGTTGAAATATTCGCTCGGGTTTCTCCTCTGAAGTGATTTCTGTGGCATGGTGGATTGAACATGACGTGGTAACTAGGCTGACACCCATCCGACACTGCCAGCATAGAAAGCTCCGAACTTGACCATGCCATCTTCAAAATCCAGCCCTAGCATTCCAAATGTCGCAGTATCTCGTATATTCGCTCGTGGCTTCGAGAGGTATTGAGGGTTTGCGATAATAGTAAGATTGGCGCGGTCGGAGGTACAGCCAAGGCCCGTGTCGCAATGCGCTGGTGATCGAGAATGTCGTCGTTGATAACATCATCAAAGGCGGTATCCATGGGTGATTTCATCGCAGAGGAAGAGAAGTCACTTACTGCTTGTAGAGCTGCGGTTCTTTGATTGCCGGGAGCACCTTGTGCGCCTCCTGCACCAGCAGCTGGCTTTCCTCCGCTTGGGATATAAGGATCATATTGGGGTTCGCGAGAGTCGGCCATTGTTGCGTTGAGCGGAATTTGGATTGGGTTGTGGAGGAGAGAGTGTACTTGATTCCAATGCGAAAGAGTCGTATGTGGTTGTGTGAGTGTGTCGGTTGATGGATGTTTGTTTGCAGGAGTGTGGTTGATGAGGTTGATCAGTTTCAGTTCAGCGAGCGTTTGGGAGAGGTCGGGAGAGGCGAGAAAGCGCGGCTGGGGGTGACGGAGTGGACAGGACAGGGCAGGACCAAGACCTTGAAGACCAAGCTCAAGCCTCAAGGGCTCAAACAACTCACCCAACCAACCTCAAACGGCAAGAAAGGAGAGATCTGAGTCAGGGAAGAGGTGACACACTGAATAACAGAAACAGAATTCAGATGATAATTGCGAGAAGTTGTCAAGAATTGTATCACATCACAGATCTACTCACAGAGGTAGAGGAATCGCAGTGAATATATTAAGAAATCTATTGTTAGACACTCAGTGCTCTCGGCTGCTCCACCTCAGTATCTGAACAGTCAGCCTTTGGTGGCTGGCAGTTCGTACGGGGACTACGCAAGCCAAACCTTACTTGAGGACTGCCAGAGACACGTGAGAATTGCCAGTTCAAGGCAGCGGTGCCACCGAATGTTTTATAGTTGGCCTCTTTTGTAGCGATCGAGGACTGATATGGTCATTCATATGCGATTCGAAGTTGGATGATCCCCTCGCAGCTGCTTTCAACACTGCCACTGCCACTGCCACTGCCACCGCCACCGCCACCGCCAGCAAATGCCGAATTCAGCGGCAATTGCGGCTCTTTGTCGATCCGAAAAGACTGGCCGCTTTGAATTCTCTCAAGGAAAAATGGCATAGGCGACACTGACACATCAAGGGAAGAGGCTGAGCTGCTGGAAACAAACGACAAACTCGTTGGAAACATTTCGCCACCTCATCCAATCAAGAAGGTGTTGGGGATGGAGACAGAAGAAGACGGAGAACTAGGAGTCGTTACCCGTAAAATACTCTAGTCTCGAACATTGCGAGCTTGCGAACTCGTGCATTCGAATTCGCAGTCAGAGCTCCCACCCAGCTCCCTCTCTTCCCCTCCTCTATTACTATCTCCTCCACTCTTCCCGCTTTTCACGTTTCCAGATGCGTCTCTTCGCTTGGCGTTTCTGCCAATGAACGTTCGCTTGTCATGTCACCTCAGATCTTCAATCCAGGGCCATGTTTCTCTAAACATGCTCCAGACTCCAGAGCTTCCCCTCCAAAGTTGGGACAGTTTGATTGACCTGCAAACGGAAGAACTCCCGTCCCGAGCCGAGGTTGTTTTGTTGCTTGTTTTCTAAATGCCATTCGAGTACTCATGTACGAGTACCGGTATTGAATACAACCTGAGGGGAGGATCTTCGACGATGACGATGATGAGTTTATGCTCGGTCGAAAATTGCGAGATTCCACATTCGAATGGTATTGTCGGTACTCGTACCCGAGAAATCACAAGGACGCACCCGGAGCTACAGTATAAGCTGAGTGAGCATGATCCCCTCTTCTCCATGCCACTACTACCCGCCTTGACGGCGAGGGGACGGCGAGGGGACGGCGAGGAGACCCCTCGAAAGGCACCAGGAGGCAAGGCGAGTGATAATGGACAAGTGTCAACCACGGCACGTACGAGTACGTGTGCTTGTATCAGGCGACCTTTCAAGTTAGCCCAACTACGAGTACAGTAGTCATAGGCCCAAGTTAGGCCTATGACGGACTCCTGAGCAAATGCTACTCTGATTCCTCCACTTTTTCCCTACTTTGGAGGCTCCTCCTCGTATTTATTATATTTCTCTGCATGATGATCCAACACGGTCTTCCAGTTACGGACTAAGCTTGTTGATCCAACACGGTCTTCCAGTTACGGACTAAGCTTGTTGATCCATGTCATTACCACGAATGCAACTATCCGACAGCAGGGTTGAACCTAACCCAGTCCGCCTCTCCAAAGATTCAAGACACTTTGAATCTCCAAAACATCATTTCCACGAGAAATACTTGGGACGTTCACGTCCTCTGTCTCCTGTCATAGTGAAACGAACTCACGTTGTTTTTGGTTACCATTCATCTCAACCCGCTGCACCCGAGTGACGTACGCAAGCGGCCAACTATCGAACTTCCCCATTGGGAAAAACGCTGCCACTACCTACTTTGGTGCCGGGGGAAACCCGATGATCTGAAATCTTGGGACTTTTCAATTTTTATTACCTTTCCTTAATTTTGGATGACCTTGGTCGATAATCAAGAGTCTCTTGGTGTTTGCTTCAACTCCCTTGGCCCTCACATCCCCCACAATCCACCATGAGATTCTCGTCAAGATCCACCTCTGCGGTGGCGGTTCTTGTTGGATCTCGACTCTCCGAAGCGATTGATTTAAATATTGATTCTCAAGGCAGGTCTACATCAAAACACCTAAGGCTTCTCAAGTACTAACTGGCTTTCAGATTCAATAAAAGCCGCAGCCAGCACACTCGCACATGATATGATGCTTTACTACACTGGAAATAATTCAGGACAGATACCCGGAAATCTCCCTCAGCCATATTACTGGTACGTCATATTCTTTGATTAATTTTACAAGTTGTCGCGTCAGCCTTGGAGGGTTGGGACAGCACTCATTCGGAAGATTGTTTATATCTCCTTGACTTGTTTTAAATTTATATGCCACTCGTAAGAATCGCAACGCTGACTCCAACATCACAGGTGGGAAGCAGGTGCTATGTTCGGATCCATGATAGATTATTGGTATTACACAGGCGATCCGACGTATAACGAGGTCACCACCCAGGTAAGACTTTCATACACTAGGCGAAATGACTGCGCATACTAAAGGAGGAATTAGGCGATGCTTTGGCAAGTCGGCCCAAATCAAGATTATATGACACCCAACCAAACAAAAACCACCGGAAACGACGATCAGAGTTTTTGGGGCCTCGCAGCCATGACAGCAGCAGAAGTCAATTTTCCTAATCCCCCAGAGAACCAACCACAATGGCTTGCACTCGCTCAAGCAGTATTTAACACCCAAGTCCCACGCTGGGATCCAACGACCTGTGGAGGTGGATTAAGATGGCAGGTCTTCCCATTTAATAACGGTTACAATTATAAGAATGCAATTTCGAATGGATGTTTCTTTAATCTCGCATCAAGGTTGGCTCGATACACTGGGAATGCAACATACGCCGAATGGGCGGACAAAGCATGGAACTGGATGCGCTCCATCAGCCTCCTCGATGACGCATATTACGTTTACGACGGCAGCGATGACACAATTAATTGCACTAGACTTAATCGTATACAATGGACCTACAACGCAGGCGCCTTGCTCCTCGGTGCCGCGACGATGTATAATTACACCAACGGCTCACAAATCTGGCAAGAACGCACAGAAGGTTTACTCAAAGCCACCGATGTCTTCTTCCAAGACGGCATCATGTTCGAAGTCGCCTGCGAACCCGTCAACCGATGCAACGTCGACCAACAATCTTTCAAAGCCTACCTCTCGCGCTGGATGGCCGCCACGACCAAAGCCGCACCCTTCACCTTCAACGCCATCATGGCACGTCTACGTCCTTCCGCCCAAGCAGCCGCGCAGCAATGCGGAGGCGGCGACAACAAACGAACTTGCGGCATGAAATGGACCCAAGGCGCGACGTGGGATGGCTCCTTTGGTGTGGGCCAGCAGATGGCTGCCCTTGAGGTGGTGCAGGCTAATATGATTGCACAGAGTCGCGCGCCTGTCACGAATAGTACTGGTGGTACCAGTCCTGGAAATCCGGCGGCGGGCACGGCGGGCACGGCGCTTTTTGAGAGGGTTACGAAGGGGGATCGGGTGGGCGTAGGGTTCTTGACGACGTTTGTGCTTTGTTTGTTTTTGGGGATGATTTGGTGGATGATTATTGATTGAAGGAGTTAGTGAGTGAGGGAAGTTGAACTTTGGTGATGGGTGGTTGTTGGGTTTAGGTTTTTAGCGAGTGGGTACGGGATATTTGGGTTTTTGAGTTTGGGGCTGGGCGTTGGTGGTTGGTTAACAAATTTTGGGTTTTTGGGGATGGGATAGAGAGGATGGGATGGGATGGGATGGAATGGACCGGTATACGATCTATGATAACATATATGACCCGGGTCCGGGGGGTGCATATACGCAGCGTTTTGCGAATGGATAAAAGGGCAAGGCATCTAAGCGAGGCGTTTTGAGTTCTGAGGAATGAATGAATGGAAACGGAGGCGGAAATGGGAGTTGGAGTCGGAAGAGGATAGTATAGTGTATATGCATGGCTTATTGGGATTTTGGAGTTGGAGTTGGAGTTGGATTGGGGAGATGGTATTGGTTGGGTTGATTACATACTTATATGGGTTTGGAGTTGAGTTGGGTTGGAGTTGGATTGAGGGAAGGGAAAGGGAAGGGATAGGGGTGTTGTATATATTGAGAGGAAATTGGTAATTTTTGTTGATATCATAGGATGTGATGTTGATGTTGGTGTTGGTGTCGGTGTGGGAGGTACTTTATATTACATCTTGAATATTATTTATCGAACCATGAATCTTAAATTTCAAGTATTAGGTGTGGAATATCAGATACCAACGTTCCTCTCTCGTGTTTATAGAGTAAGAGTCAGAGTACGTACGTTGTATATTCCCTTCTGTCTGTCTTTTTAGTGAGGGGCGAGGGGGGATGGGGGAATGGTATTCTTTAATGCATGATTGGGCGATAACAAGGGGGCACCAGGGGGTTTGACTCCGCTTGAGAGAGGATCTGGAAGAGTGCGTGGGTTGTTATTTTTTTGCGTACATACATAGTTCTTCATTCGATAATTGACTAAACTACCCATCTACAAATTATAAATCACTAATATGCCCCCAGGGTAAATGGAAATTAACAGAACTACCCCCAAAATTTTACCCCTTGAAAGAAGTGTAATTTTATCGGTATACTAAAAATAAGGGGTAGTTCTGCCAAAATAGGAGTTACAGAATTCTATAACTTCATGGTTTTTACAGAGTATCACACCAAAAAGTCAATGAACAAAGTAAATCAATCTGCTACTAGTTACCTCTATCTTGTAGTCTAATTCTAAGAAATCTTGGTAGTGGTTAAGTCCAGTATTCCTTGCCCTTGCACTTACGCTTATTGTTAGTTCCTTGTTCCTGAGTAATATCCTCGATTCCTTATCCCTAAGCCTTAATTATATTATCCTAGTCTTCTTGTTACGCCAGCGATCTCTTGACATTACGTCGCGGTGCTAGATAATCTTTGCGATGCCGCTGTATATACTTGTACAGTAGCATAGTAGGGTTTTTTGTATATTGCTGTTAGTAGTAGAGATATAGATCGAATTAGTAAAGGTAGACAGACTATTTGCGGGGTAAGCTGTAAAATGGTAGCATGAGACTACAATATTGCTTAGATTCACGAGAAAATATGTATAGATATATATAAAGATTAGTGAATGTTTGCTGACAGAACTACCCCTTATTTCGAAATGAGGGGTAGTTCTGTCAATTTCCAATTACCTATGGGGTATAATAGTGACTTACGATTTATAAAGGGGTCGTTTAGTCAATTATCGTATAAAGAATTATTTGCAATTGATTTTCAGCTCCTGTTGTTTCTTATGATGCGAAGTGTCACTTGATGTATCTCACTCTTCGCAACATGTGGTTGGCGGGGATTGTATGCTCAAGTGAAGAGGTGATATTAGGCTGAATTACCCCGCTGTTCTATTTTTTTCTTCTCGCTATACCGTAAAGTTTAATAAGTAACTTCAGGGATCGACAGATGCAGGGAAATGTGAATTTCTCGTATGTATTGTATGAAGGAAAGATGGGATTTAGTATCAGGGGTAGGCAAGTACTTGGATTCCAGGGGTCTGGATAAAGGTAGGGATGTACTGTGCCCAAGGATGATCATTTTATTTCCCCTTCTTTGCTGTGGGTTCTTCATTTGGGTCGTCGTTCTATCTTGTCGTCTTCTTTCTTTTTGCTTTATGTGGATGCTTTCTCACGCACGCACACACACACACACTCTCTCACTTGCAAGCTTATTAGGAGAAGAGAAGGAAAGACTTTACTGATTGATGGACAAGGAATGATAGCTTGAGGTCTTGTGAGCTAGCTATTCCTTCACTCCAATATCTCACACCTTAGCTCTCAACCTCACATGTCAACCTCCTCTACGACTAAATACCAATAACTTACCCACCCTTCAATTTTCAATCCTTAACCCTCCCACTCCCTCAGATTAAAATGCATTTCCAAAACTTCATTTTTTATTTTGCTCTTTTCCTTTCCCTCTCACAAGCAACAAATCCAAAGATCCCTCGCCAATCCATCATCCAACAATTCAATCCCCTCCGTTTGGCCTCGAGTGACAACACCCCTATCCAAGTCGGCAACGGCGACTTCGCTTTTGGCGCGGATGTCACGGGTTTGCAGACCTTTTACCCGTTTGGGACGTTGAGTAGTTGGGGGTGGCATAACTTTTCGTTGCCGACCGAGCAGGGGGAGAGTAGTGTTGAGAGTTTTAGGGGGGTGGATTGGTGAGTTTTTGGGTTTTATTTAATTTCAATTTTTTTTGAGGGGGAATTTGAGGTTGTGAGGATAGGATCTGGTGGTGTTATGGAAAAAAGAAGTCTGGAAGGGAGAGAATAGGATGAAACTGATGATTTTGAATCTAGGTGGACTCATGGACGATTGGTAAATTACGCACAACCTAATCCTTCACAACCGAAGATTTCGAATTGGTTGATACAGAATCCTCAGAGGATTAACCTTGGACGAATAGGTTTCTATTTCGGTGACAATGTCAATATCACAGAATCCCAACTAGAATCCAAGACTCAAACTTTGGATCTATATTCTGGAACTATTATCTCCTCATTCGTCCTCCTTGGACAAAAGGTCTCTGTGGAAACGACTGCGGATCCGGATTCTTCAACACTTGGAGTGAAGGTAGAGAGTGAGCTGGTGAAGATGGGGAAGATAGGAGTGTTTTTCGATTTTCCATACCCGGATGTTTTGAAATTCGATGCTCCGTTTGTGGGAGTTTGGAATAATGTCTCTTTACATACTACTTCCCTACGACAAGCTGGAGATTCAGCACAGATAAGACATGATATTGATGCCACTACTTATTTTACTCATATCCAATGGTCATCATGCTCTGCTTCAATTTCTGGACCCATACCTGGAACCCATAGCTACGTACTTCAAGCAAAAGAGGATGAGAGTGCGGATGGGAAGTTGGATTTGACAGTTAACTACACACCCCGAATCGAAGATGCTTCCGACCAAACAGCAAGCGAGATCTCCCAAAAATCCAAGAAATGGTGGGAAAACTACTGGCAAACCGGCGCTTTCATCTCGCTCCCCACCTCAATCCCCGACGCAAAAGAACTAATGAGGCGAACGATCCTAAGTCAATACCTCCTCGCCGTCAACAGCGCAGGCCAAGACCCACCGCAGGAATCAGGATTAGTGAATAACGGCTGGTACGGCAAATTCCATTTAGAGATGACACCCTGGCATCTCGTGCATTGGAATCTTTGGGGCAAGTTGGAATTGTTGAGTCGTTCGGTTCCGGGGGTTTATGAAAGGCTTTTGGAGAGTTCGAAGGAGAGGGCCAGGAACCAGGGGTATGGAGGCGCGAAATGGGGGAAGATGAGTGATCCGGGTGGGAGGAGTGCGCCGGGGGAGATTAATAGTTTGGTGATTTGGCAGCAGCCGCATCCGATGTATTTTGCGGAGTTGGAGTGGAGGAGTGTTGGAGATGGTGTGTTGGGGAAGTGGGATGGGATTTTAAGCGAGACGGCGGAGTATATGGTTAGTTCTGCGTGGTGGAATGTGACAACTGGTAAGTTCCTATATTATCATGCCTTCTCACCTTCTCCTTACATACGCTCAAAGTCATTTCATGTCACATATTGATTGAGCAAAAGGCGTCTACGATCTCGGTCCCCCCATGTATCCAGTCTCCGAAAACACAAACCCAAACAGCACAATCAACCCGGTCTTCGAACTCTCCTACTGGCGCTTCGGCCTACGCATCGCCTCAACCTGGAAAACCCGCCAAAACCTCCCCATCCCCTCCTCCTGGACCCACGTCCTCGAAAACCTCGCACCGCTCCCAATAACCAACGGCACATACCCCATCTACGAAAACACCCCTCTCATGTGGATCGACCCAATAACATACACCGACCACCCCGCCATGATCGGGATCTACGGCCTCCTCCCGCCAACCCCCGATCTCAACCTGACCATCATCCAGAACACAGCCGATAAAATCGAGCAGATCTGGGATTTTGAGAACTTGTACGGCTGGGATTTCCCCATGCTGGCGATGAATGCTGTGAGGCTGGGACGGAAGGAGAAAGCGATTAGGTATTTGTTAGATGACAATTTTGCGTTTGATGATGTGGGTATGCCGATTGGGGGACCGAGGGTGGCGACTCCGTATTTTCCGGGCAGTGGGGGGTTGCTTTGGGCGATGGGGATGGTTGCTGGGGGGTGGGAGGGGGTTGAGGGACAGCAGTTTCCTGAGGCGTGGGAGTTGGGTGTTGAGGGGTTTGGGAAGGTTATGTGATGGGGTTTCTTGGGGTGGTGGGGATGGGATTGGATATTTTGGCTTTCTAAAATGCTTGTTGTTAAGGTAGTGGTTATTGATTACGGGGATTTGGTTACTTGGGATGTTTCTGTGTCGAAGTTCCTTGTATTTGTTACTGTCTCGCTTAATTTGCAATCAATAAGCTGGAAATGGTGAAGTGATTGCCAGCGTTGGAAAAAAAAAATCAACTAATTAATTAATACTCTGATTATTCAGATTTGAATTAATTTGATTTGATTAACAGGTCTAGTTGATTTGATTGGATTAACCGATTTAGTTAATCAGATTATTAATTGATTAGTATATAAGTTACTGTAAATAGTAACTAAAGTACAAATTAATTGTCTTTAAATAACGTATCTTTTAGTAGTATATCCCTGTCCTCGTTTACAAAACACCCCTAGATTTTTAGGCTTATTACTAGTATAGCCTTTAGAGAGTCTTTTGTTATTTAGTAAGATAATTAAAAGTAGGTTATATAATTCCACGTAACCCCCTATACTAGTTGTAACAAATAATTAGTACTATAAGCCTTCTACTAAAGCAAGAGAAGAGTCTTATTATTATATAAAAGTGTTATAAGCTCTACTTATACGTTATATAGGGAGATCGGACTACCCCGGACTCTACCCGAGGCCCGGGACTCTACCCCGAGTCTCGGACCGACCGGACTCCGTATTAATCTGAATTAACCTAAATTAATCTAATTACTTAGCGATTTGATTTGATTAATCGATATATTAATCTAATTTAATTTAATTAAGTACTATTAATCAAATCAAATCAAATCATTTCTAACGCTGGTGATCGCCGCTTCACCTACTCTATTCATTAAATTTTTGAAGTACACTTTTTACTACTTCGCATTTACTCTGATCACAAGAGGTGGTACACATGAGCCTTACCAGTGTCACTTAATGATCAGTGATGCTACTTAGAATCAGATCTGAATGTTAAGTGTTTGAGAATTTCTGCGACTAGTGACAATACATTGAGTAAAGGGAACTCTTTGCATTAGTCACTTTTCAATCACCTAATTGCAAACATCACTGGGTGAAATTTATTCAGTATGGTAACTTGGTCCGCTAAACTGAATTATAGTAGAGATAATGCCTGATGTGTCTTGTGCTATTATCCCTAACCAAATCGCCTAGGAGAATACTGTTAAAAAGCAGTTCTACATATTATAGAGATACTGGATATTTCTTCCTCCATTTACTTACGGGGCGCTGTGATCAATTTCTCAAGAAATGGAATTTTGAAAGTTTTCATGTGCATCTATTCTATTGTGTGACTTACAACTCACGTCTCCCTAAAGTTTAGGTGCAAGACCTTGTTTCCATTCACTTCTATCCAACAGACTCACTTCTGAAGCAATGTAAGCCTCGACCATCTAGTCCCTGACATCTCCAAACCCAACCCTCACAACACAATACCCATCATCAAGAGCGACCAGACCAGACGAACGAACCTTGCAGGACCCATAAAAACCATTCACGTGCTCTCTTCCAAACCAACTATTACCGAAGAATACCCCCTTTCTTACTCACAACAAACCTGAATCCAAATAAGCAATTTTCAAATATATCAAATCATCAAGGACAGATGGCCGAGCTGGTTATGGCGCCAGGTTAAGGTTTCCTTAACAACAATTTCCTGGTCTCGAAAGGGGCGTGGGTTCGAGTCCCACTCTGTTCAACAGAATATCAACTTGTAGACATTAAGTTTATGTTCACATTTTTGTTTTTGGGTGGAAAAAATAAAAATGCTTTGGTGGTATCGTGTGGTGGGGCGAGATAAATCTCTGATCTTTTTTCCTTTGGTGGGGAAGGTTAAGCGAGGTAACTACGTACTTGAGAAATGACATTTAGATACTGGAAGCAAGGCTTGTGTTCTTTTCTTTTTGAGCTGGTGAATTCATTTCTTGGTTGGTATGGAAAGAATGTGTCAGTTTCATTACCTCGGCAAGGGAATGGCTTTGCTTCCTGTATAATTAAAGGATTTGCCAAGAGAAGGTCGCTGAAGTTGATTCCTTGATCGCTGCTTCCGCTGTATACTTCATTACCCAAAAGTCTTTGTACTCTGATCGTAGATATTATCAAGATCATGTTCTATTGTTATTCCTTCACTTGCGACATGCAACAAACGAGCTTCAAAAGTTGCGGAAATCGACATAAATAGATTTCAAAGTGGCTGAATGGCTTGGCAATTTGGAGCCGAAAGAATACATGGGTTACTTTTTAAGTAGTTTCGATGATTGTTTTCTTGTTAAGTCAGAAGGAAGCGTTTTTGACGATGGTGATGGGTAAAATGAAGGTTTTGAGGTCATGGATCCTTCATTTCGGTGCATCGCTGTCATTCTAATTGTTGTTGCTTGGAGGCTTCGTCGCCAAGGAGCTTGCGCTATGTAAACTGCGAGACAGTTTGGTGTCACTCAAATAAATACGCACTTTTGCTGAAAATGCTTCATGTAAATTTAGCATGATATCTTTGTACGTCGACGTTTAATTCAAGAGCGCAAGCCTGTCAGAAGGATTCGGCGTGCGGGCATTGGCCGTGACTAGTTTTAGATCTCAGAGATAGAAGAGACAATATACCCCTTGAAAATGGAGTTGAAAATTGTCATACGCGCATCTATGGATTGAAAAGAAAGTCAATGCAGGAATGAATCGGGAATTTGCCGTACGCAAATCTGGTAATTCTCTGTCAAACAGAATTAACCATACGGAAAAGGGTTTTGAAACATTGGAGTCTATGATGGATGAGGCGGAGCGCAACTCGGTGCGAATTCATGTCAACGTGCCAAGCTTCTCAGGGGAGGTGGACGGGATCAAGTCGCTCTAAAGTCACTAGCAGCTGCAGGTAAGAGGAACTAATCGTTGAACATATGAAACATCGTTATTTACGACTTTCATGATATGTATAGAATAGCGAAGATACCATGGTACAAAATGCTGCAGTGGTTTTGGATGAAATACTGCGTTCACTGCGTTATCTAAGAGACCTAAGCACCACCCTGGACATACGTTAAGAATCTATTGTACTAGAATTCCTCATAGAATCAACTTAATTATCCCGACAAAATTAGGGCAATAAAGATTTATAAACTGAAGTTGTTCTAACTCGCTCTTTTGCAACTATTCTAGTTGTGCAAGGCTTTTAGGATAATGTTGTTGTAACCTCCGTGTGTTCTGATTCATAACGGCTTCTCTTACCTTAAGTAACGGAGCCAAAATACTGTATCATTAATATTCTACGCTTATAGGTTTCTGCAGATTCTCTCAAGGGTACTGATGGCTATCGATTCAATTGCAGTGTCGTTATGAGAGGAAATATATAAAACAGGGCGCAGAAAATTGTTACCACCGAAAGTAGAATAGAAGTGTAGAGATTTTCGAAATACCTGGGCTAAACTCTCGGTATTTTCTCTTCCCCGAAAATAGAATTTGGTAGATAATTGCAGACTGGAAGCATTGATCAGAAATGATGTGGCATTCAGTTGATCTCGAAATACGCCTGCATGTGCGACCTCGATTGTGGTGAGGTGAGTCCCCCCTGTCAGGAAGGAATCTCAAATTGCTTCTTGAAATTCGGCATACAACTTTGCAGCACACCAGCGGCCAGTTTTGGAAGGACCAGAACAGGCACGGAAGAGGCGCGGAATTTGGTCAAAATCCCAAAATTCACTCAGATTTATGACGCAGGTTTACCTGATTCGAACCAAGTTACTTGAATAAGCACACCGTTCCTCGCGAGGATGAGTTTCTGATTTACGTAAGCCATGATCGCGGATAGGGCAGAGTGTGGGGCTCAGATCTTGACGAGAAAAGGACTCCAATATGAATGATGAGCGAGGCTTGTAATCTGATCCCTATCTTGGCAAGCTGGGGTTTCTTAGGGTCCGATGAGGTTTCAATTGGCCGATATACAGATCTGAACTGGGATGGAGACATTAGATTAACGTGCAAATGCTTGTGCAGGTCTTGTAGGGCGGACATAAATGAATCAGGATTCATGTTTCCAGTTTCAGGAGTACAGATATATCTTTTGGAATTAAATTATGTGAATATATCATACGTATAACATCGAAGGCGATTGTGGCTTGGTGATGAGTATGTGATTTCTGATGGATGGATCGCTATGCGAAATCTACCTCCTCTAATCAACAGTTGCTGTCAAAAAACACAAGGGGAGCACGCTGTCTATCTACAGTTTGACCTGGCCGAAGAAGGCTTTTCTTGAATTCCTTTCTCAGTACAAAGGGAAGGTGACATGGTCGTGAAAAAAGTATTATCCAGTGGGCAAAAGGAGGAGAAGACAGATTACATTTGAGGGTGGATGAAAAAAGTGTTGAAGACTTGCATACTTCAACATGATCGAGAAAATTCAAGATTCCGGTCGTCGACCTCGAGTTACGAAGTAAAATGAACAAATTTTACATTCCGATTATGATTTCTCCGATAACCCAACGTAGACACGGGAGCGCCATCGTTCGCACGTTTATTTGTGAAACCATTGGGTTTTCTACGAGCTCACACTACGACGTCCAATCATTTCCGACACCCTGTAAAGGTGGCATTTGCATTATCCAATCACGTGTCGGTAAAATCTGCAAAGGGGGGGCGAAGGATGAAGCGAGACCACTCAGCTGAAGTCAGCACCCCTACCAGGTCAGGGGGTTTAAAACCGAAAGAGACTTCGCCTCTGGGATTCTGTCTGCAAGTCTCAATCCTTTTTCATCCACACTAGCCTTCCTCCGAATGCAAGCTTTGAATGTATTTACACGCGTAGGCGTTTCTTACAGGGGTGCATGACTGGGTGTGATCGGACGAAGATGTCAAAATGAGGATTACGGAAGCTTGGGAGGAGTCAGCCCCACGATTGATTAAATTTAACTCACAGGTTGGATTGGCTGCGTGACGGGGAGGCTTCTACGAGTCGTCCATTTGAGGTGTGCTAAGGCTGTTCCTTCTTAGAGTGCCCTTTGCCATATAAGGTATCATGGCATCTTCACTTCTCGGGATCTTGTTTATCTTATCACACGTTTTCAGCTTTTCCATTCTCTATTTTCATTTTCACTCTCTATTGAGCTTTGCTCATCAGTCTGTCTTTATACATTGACGATTCCTGTCATCACATTCCTTGCAAAACATTATAAACATTCATAGCTTTACCTCTCAAGAGAATCCTCAACAACCCCATTTCAATCCCTCAGAATTAACGAAACCATTTCAAAATGCGCTCTTTCTCTCTTCAAGCCCTTGCTCTTTTTTTCGCCTCTGCTTCAGTAGCAAGCGCCTCTTTGAACGTTCACAACTTGTAAGTTTACAGCACCTGCATTTTCAGACATCTTTAACCCCCAAAACAGTTGCTCTTACCCAATTTATATTAAACAATCTCACAATGGAGGCTGTAACAAGGGAACAAACACCAACGCATGCGATGGAGCCAGCCCACCCTTCGTAGTCAAAGCCGGCGCAACCTACCACCTTCCTATGTTCACTGACAAGAATTCCGCTACATCGGTCAAGATTGCCCGCGAGCAAAATATGGGAAAAGTAACTCAGTTTGAATACACACCCACCGATAACACCATGTTCTGGGATCTCAGCGATATTGATGGAGCTGGAGCCGCCAGAACGGGAAGTCCCTTCAAAGAGGCGAACCTTAAAGTCTCCCCAGTTGGCAAAGATCTCGGAGCCGGTACTTGCAAGTCAATCAAGTGCAAGAAAAACGAAGTGTGCAAGGACGCCTACCAGTTCCCTGACCAAACCGCTACACACGTAAGTTCTCTCTTTGGACACACTGAGAGTTAGTTGACGCTAACATAATACAGTCTTGCCCGATCTCAACCACTACCTTCACACTGGATATCTGTGTACCAGATGCTCAGTTTACCCGCAGAGAAGTTGAGGTTGGCTTCTCCGCTTAAGCTGTGGAGGATCGGAAGGAGCTGTGGTTCTAGGCGCTGCGCTTGAGAATTGAGCTTGTATGGGGTGGATGCTTGAGATGTTGAATAGAAGTTTGTTATATTGTTATTTCGCCAAAGTTGGATACACCCATGTGGCAGGTGAAGGAAGGCTAGAGAGGTACCTGCAGGAGTTACCTCCCGCTGAAAGGGGTTGATATCGCTAAGCGGTATCTCGGTTCATGTGCTATGCCTTGGATCAGGAAACGGAAAAGATTCAAGTGTTTATCGGGGCATGAAGCCGCTGGTCCTGGTTTCGTGCATCGACTTTCGGCACTTGAACATTCTTATGTGATGGGACTGGTGCCAGCCATATCACTACGCACTGTACAGGCTACCTTTTTCGATTCTTGTACCAATGTTGTTTCCTTTTTTTCCCCGTTCTGTTTCTACTCATATTTTGTTTCCTTGGTTGGATTGTGTTTCATTTAGGTAATAATTACCTTACTTACTAATAGACTTTAGGTTTAAACCTTAGTCTGTTCTCGCTTATTCTAGAACGTTCGATCACGTGAACCAAAACATTCTAGTATCCCTTTCTATTTATAAGCACTTCTATTCTATTAATAATCTATAGAACCTCCTAGAATCTATCCAAGGAGTATATATAGACCTTTACTGTCCTTGTAGTTAAAAAAATCAAGTCATTTTCACAAGTCAAATTCTTACTCTTTTGATTCCCGATGTACCTAACAGTCATCTGACCATCCTACTTCCACTGTCTTATATACACTCTGTATATAAACGATACCTCTTACAGATTGTTTTTGGAGAAGTGGTGTAGATTAGTTGCAATATACCTTGATTTATGAGGATCTCGGCTTCCTCGTGAGTGACTTTGGAATAAATATAATTCTTAACATGGGTCTTTGTCACCTCGTGAGTGACTTTGGAATAAATATGATTCTTGACATGGGTCTTTGTCAATTACACACTAGTTGTGTTGATCAGGCTCCCCTGTGAAAGACAAGCGAAATTCTGGGACGACGTTTACATCTAGAGGCTAGAATCTCTTTCGCTAATATCAGCTAAAGTTTACTACAAGTTAGCTACAGATGCTATTTACATTGCCACTAGAACGATAAACGCTCAGACTTGAATTGTTTTTAACACATGCGTATTTAAGGATACAGTATGCGGCGCGCCAACCAGCCAAAGAAATCTAAAGTTAGGAATCTTGTGCGTACCAACCAACCAACCAACCAACTAACCAACTCCCTGAAAGAAATACCAACCATCCAAACATTCCTTTGAAGATTCAATTCAAACTGTTTGCTCATATTGGTCAGTTATATTTCTTGGTTTTGGTTAATGTTGGAATAAAGAAAAGTAGAGGAGATAGAACTGTGCTTTGTTATCACCTCGTCCTTAGAGTATATATTACGGCCAAAGTCTTCATTAAGTTCCCAAATCCCAAAAACATTCTACAAAAGTACTCAAAGTCTCCATATGTTGGCACAACCAATAGAACATCCCGTTCCCAGGAAAAAGCCACTCCTATACTTGCGATGCGACAAATGCCGAGAAAAGACCGCTTACCCTTCCGCAACACCACCAGAATTATGCAAGAATACGAATTGTGGTCACATTACGAAAGCTTGTGAAAGCTGTAGAGTCAATGTGATATTTGAGATATGCCAGGGATGCGGGAAAAAAAAGTGGAGTTTTAGAGGACGCCCGGAGAGTAGGAACTGTTCTGAATGTGACCGCCCGGATCCTTTTTGGAGAGTGTTTTTGGACCAAGAGATGACAGTAAAAGAAGAAAAAGAGAAAAGTCGGAGCGCAATTGAAGGTCGAATCATCGACTTCAAAGCCGTCGGACAAATAGTCATTATATAATATTCTTCATAAATAGGGCAATAAATTTCTATCTAGCACATTGAGAAAGGGAGTTTAATTAACTGTTCACAAATTTTCTAAAAGATCACTCTCAAAGTAGAGTTCGCGCTTTGATATAAGATATTTGTTAGTCTATCTTGGTAATTCCAGCTCGCAACTAATCTGTCTCTTAGTGGACGAGAGAAGCGGCAGAGATCTCTTTTATCTGAGCCCAACTCAACTATAAATTATTATATTATGTTATTTATTTAGGCTACAGTAATCAAATTGATTAAAGTTAAACGATAGGACTATAAAATTTAATTGCTTTAGATATTTTAAACATTCTATCACTGAGAATTGACTTACGCTAATATTTAAAAAATGAATTCCTGCTACTATTGTGTCCACTAGGAGCCTGTTGCGATATATTCTACCTTTTATTAGTTATAATGTAACCTAGACCCATTTCTTCGAGCCCTTAAGTCCCTAGCTCGAACGCTTCCACTCCTTCGATAAAAACAACAATCGAATATTTTACTACAGTTTGCACTTTTTTAGGTCCTTATCATTATATCCTAGATATCTCTATACCAATGCAACCAAATGATCCCCGTGATACTAGGTCTCTGGGTTTGGGTACGTTTACTTGCACTTTCCTATATAACTATTGTTGTAGTGTGGTGTCGACCTATAGCGCAGAGAGAATTTGCATTTTGGAATTTCAAAAGAATAAATATGAGATTACATTGCTTCTCTGACGCACTTATTCTCACAGGGCGCAATTTTATACACTCTTCCCACCTTCTAGATTAATCTTTTCTTATTTGGCTTAGCAGTCCGAGCCCGACAAGTATTTTCTAGATGATCTTGGCCCAGATGCGAGCGGCGGTATGAGAATCACTGGAGGATTGTACATGGTTTGTTGTGTATGTCGAAAGATGACACCAGCTAAGAATTGCGATTTTGGCCACACAGTACAATGGAAGTTGTGTTACCTATGCATAGATGAGGATATTGATCAAGGATTGCCTGAAGAACAAAGACGAAAAGGGGAACTTCCTCACATGAACTGCGAGCATTGCCGTCACGAGTTTTGCACTATACCTCCAGCGAAACCGCCCAGAGGATGTGAGATAAATGTCTCCTTTCTTCAGTGCGCAGACTGTGGAACAGATTCTCTGATCACACCCAACATTGGGAGCGAATTATGCCCTCAATGCAAGCAGCCTCATTCACTTTACTCTACAATCCGCTCGGAGTGGCAAAGGCGAGGCCCAATGACTAGGGAAGAATAAGGAACTGAAAGAATATGGCAAAGTTTGGAATCCGAATTCTTTTAGGAGTATAAAGAGTTTTTTATCGAGTCGCCTTGGGATTACATCGAAAAACAGCTGACGAAAAGCGGAAGAAAAGAAGAAAAAAGTCCAAAAGGGAAAGAAAGGGTATCATCCTACACACTCATTATTTCCAAGGAATCAGGCAACAGAACAGGTATGGCAAGGGGAAACAGTAAAATAATAAATCGACCAAAAACACTATCCCCTCAGCTGCGGCCAGGAGCTTCGTGGCCCAAGCGTAGTGCCAAGAGTGCTAAGCGATCCAATAGGACCCTGTATTTGGAGCATTTTTGGCTATATTTGGCAAAAACTATAAGACAACGGCCTTCTTTTATAAAAATAATTGATATATTTGTTATAAGCGTAGTAGGTTTACTGTAGAACTCTCACTCTTGTACTTTTACTAGTAATCAAGTCTAATACACTCCTTTTTAGAGCGTACTATCTAGTATAAACTAGTACTAGTACTATTATAGCCTTAATACGTTTTCCGGGTTAATTTGATAGTAAAATATATAGACTACGAGTAACTGGATCTTTTATATCTTATTATATATCTTTTAGTATTATGGGGGGTCTCTAATAAGTAAATAAAGATGTTGAAAAAGTTAATGTTCCACCCCCTGCAAGCGACAATTCACGGAGCTCCTGGCCGCAGCTGAGGGGATAAAATAGAAAACACGAAAAAAGAATGGAGATGGGATTTCCAGAACCACTGCGTTTATCTACTTACGTGAGACCTCCAATGTGTGATATTCAGTGATGTTGTCATCATGACTTCTGACGTAGTGATCTATTTATGAATTGTAAGAGACATGGTCGCTACACTATACATACACATTTCTCTTGGAATAAAATTAGTTTACAAGCCTTATATAACTAAAATATATGTGAATAGTTCGGAATCAACAATCTATTATACAGTATATGGCAAGATTTATAGTGAATGAGGATGAAGGCTTAGTAAGCTACTCGGATAGTAGGATATGTCCTACCCTACTACTACTATATACCTTTAATACTACTACTGTAATATCCACTATATTATTAGCTACAATTTTATAAGCTCTTTTGTCCTACCTACATTCCCCTCGCTAAAAGGCTCGACTTACGATTTAGGAGGGTTTTTAGACCGAGTTCGTTTATACTCCTAAAAGGGGTGTGTTTCGCCCTGCTCTATACTTTGTATTTTGCTAGATAGAGCCTTCGAATTAGTCTATAATACGGTCGAAGTCCGACTACTTAGCATTTAGTTAGTTAAACTACCTCCGCAAGAGGTACGTAGCCGAGGGTGCTTATACTTCGCTTTCCACTTATATATAGGCAAATTATAAGCACTTAAAGCTAGCCAGTAATACAAAAGAAAACTAATAATAAGCCTCCTTTAATCATTGATGTGACGTTAACCGACTGACGATTAACCATAAATGCAGTGTAATGACCAGGCCTCTTACGTGAAATCAAATCTTAACACACCCGACCTGTTATTGTTTTGGACTTATTATTATACCACTATACCATTGCCGTTGAATAATTACCATAGGATTCTCATGTAAATGAATACTAAAGGTGTAGCATCCCGTATCCAGAAAAAGAAGAGGTATCAATTCTCAAGTTTCACTCCACCACGGCCCCGCTGCCACTTACTATCACGTGCTCTCGCTTGAAGCTTGAGAAATCCCAACCCCTGATACTACTAATTTCTTAAGATCGCAAGGAAGAATGTTATAAAAACAGTATGAGGCCAAAGCAAAACTCTGATTGATTAAAATTACCACAGCTCTGCTATCGTAACAACCTGGAACCCACCCACCACAATTCCGAATCTCAAATGCGTCCCGGTAGTATAACCCTTCACGATCGAATACCACAAATCTCTCAAAATCCACTCACTACTAATCTCTACTTAACCTTCCATCTCTCCAGCTTCAATTCTACTATCAACCTCAAAAGCATTTACATCCTTCGATATCCTCCCTTCCCATCACCAACCCAAAAGCTCAGAGTCTTCCGCGAGTCTCTCATCAATCAGCCCCAGGACAAACCCTCAAACAAACCAACGACTCAGACACTAAGACTTTTGCAAACACCATTCCCACATCATCAACACCAACACTCAACACAACCTCATCATCTAGGAAACCCGTACCTTTCTCCCTAATATCTCCTTCTTCCCGTCCCCATGCCCAGGCAATAGAAGTAGTATACGTGAACACGCCCCAATGCTCTCTCTCTTCCCCATACATTTCACCATTTCCATCTTTTCCCCCCTCCGGAACATCATCCCAAGTTTCCTCTGCAGTCCACCCAGACGTAGTCTCATTAGACATGAGCAGTGGATATTTACTCATGGCCAGCATATTAAACGGCGGGTCTGCCGACCAGACAACAACAAACCGCTCATACCGAGTAGGTAGATTCCAAGCATTCAAGTTTTTCCGCTGAATGAGTGCAATAAAGACCGCATTTTCTGGTTGATTATGGCAAGTCTTATTCCCCCGAGTACAGAGAATTAGTTTTAGCGAGGGTGTAGTTTGATGCCATTTGGCACTCTCTTTATACTTCCCAGACTCCAATTCCGAAGCCGTTGGGGGTAGGAGACAAGATTGTTCGAGAGGGCTTGTAATGTTCGTCGTTGTCAATCCGCCCCCGATCAGTTTCGCGATTGTGCGACTGCTGCTGTTTACTTCGTACTGGATGTAGGATGTTGATGGGGACGTGGAAAATATGACCCAATTCTTCTCATATGGCTGGCGAGCCGAAGAGGGGTTTTTTGTTAGTTCGGTGAGTGTTGGGTAGGAGATTACGGGGCCGGGTCCGAGGCGTTTGGGAGAGGAGGAAAAAAGGTTGTTGAGTTGGGGATAGAGGGCGCGGAGGTCTAGAACCCAGAGGCCTATGCAGGCGTATTGGGATCTGAGAGGATGGATTAATGGATGTTATGGGGGGAACATGATTGTTCGATACGCACTGAGATGACATCATCAGAATTGGTTCCCCACGTCCGGTATAAAAGATCCTGGGATCGTGAAAACCAGGAATATCCGAGAACACTTGAGCTTCTCCATCACATTTTGCAGCAGGTGTTGGCGGCACATTCAACTCGACAGGTGGATTCACACATCGCAATCCCCCATTCCGTCCTAGAAAAGCGAGATCTTCATCCGAGCATGTCCTTTCTCGCGTCGTCTTTGGTTTTTGCGATTTTGGATAGCAAATATTCGCCTCGCACATGACGTTGCGGCGGTAAGGGTCAGCATCCGGAGTCACCATTGAGATGAGGAGGTACTGATTTTTCGCCCAGTAAGGGAGAGCAAGAATGGTGGGGTTCCAGAAAGTGCGGTTGTCGAAAGCTTCACCAGATTTGGGACTCATGGAAATGTTGTACAGCAGATTGGGCAATCTTATGTGGTTCGTGTATCGATTGGGTGACAAAGAACAAGCTGTAAACTCCAGAAGTGCGGATGGTATTTTTTTCAAAGGTATCTGGGAATTTTGAGTAGTTGGATCGGTGTTTCCACCATGACTTGATTTGGGGAGGGCAAGATGAATTGGAGATTCGTTGTTTGTTTTGAGTGGAATAGGGACTTGAGATACGAATTTATAGAACTGAACTGAACTGTGCAACGGGATCTTGCGTATATTGTTGGAAACAAAAAGCAAGCAGAAAATGACGATGAGTGGGAGCATCGCCCTCCTCGAAAATAGTGTGATCATGTTGATGGGCCTGCCACCTTGAAATTGTGTCGAGAGGGTTGAAGCATACAAAGATTTATGAGATGTGGCAATGAGAGATAAGAGTAAAGCCAGCGGAGGTCAGAGGAGGCCAGAGGAAGGAGCAGTGGATTACTATAATCTGTCGCACCTTCCCAAACCAACCATCTCGCCACTTGGAGCTCTCATTGCTCCCCTCACCATCTCACAATTATTGAAATTCCGAGATAACTGAGCGCTCAAGAATGCGTTCCCTGACAAAAAGTCCCAACGATGACGGGTCATCAAACCACCTATCGACTACAATCGAGATATCCTCGCCTTGGACAGACATCGCACTCGAAGAGAAGGCAACGACACCATGTCTCCCTCCTCCAATATTCAAGTCAAGACAAAAAAGCCTTCCATTCACAACCAGGTTTCGATTCAGTCGAAGCAATAAAATAACTTGGCTCGTGTTCCTTGGAACTATCGGGTTGCTGTATTTGAATTGGGGAGTTTGGAGTGACGGAATTCGACGAACAGAAGCATCGGATTCGGTTTTTAAAATACCAAGCTTTGAGGGATTACAATTCATTAATGCGAGTCATCCGCATCTGAGAGTATGTTACAACCAGTTCAGTTCTGAGTATCTACTAAATATCCTAGTTTGTAGGGCGCTGGATGTCGATTGCCAATGGTACCCGACAAGAAGGCTCTTTTCCAGGTACAGTAAAAATACTGACATTAAATTCGATTCGACAGGAACTAACTATAGTTGTAGGAATTTATTTCGACTTTGAAATTAAAGGTAGCACAACAGTGTTTCTTTCCCTTCAGAATACCGAACGATACCAGGAGCTTCCTAAGCCACAGAAGCCTCCGAGAACCCTGGACTTTTTACCAGCAAATACTCCATCCGTGGCTGGCCCAATCTCCTTGCTTGCGAGAGTTGACGGGGACGAGTACACAATATTTCCGAATGCAACATCAGTCGTGAAATTGCGCAACGGCGAGCTTGATCCGCTTGCGCGTCACTACATCCGAGTAATTGCACCAAATATAAAGGATAATCGAACAACACTTTTGCAAGTTAACGGCATCTATATAGATGGAAAGGGGGAATTACTTGCGCCTCTGGAAGCCACCACGCTACCCAAGAAAACACGAGCGAAGGACAAGGCAATGACAGCCCAAACAAGAAGAAAGATGTTAGAGGTAGTAACCGATCTACCTGGAATCACAACGGGATCATTGGGACACAAGGAGGCCACCCCAGGCCATGAAGTTCTACGTGGTGTTATGGGATGGGATTACCTTCTTGGGGAAATGTTTGAAGCAGACCATGTGTCTATAGGTGCCGATGGTATGTGCTTGATACAGAACTGTATTGGTGGAAGAGGCAGTCCACTTGGAATTTCCGACCTCTTCTTCCAAAGGTAGGTGATACGTCCCCAAAGTATATTGACGATGTTGATAAGTGCAAGTGGACCTTTGGGATCCGAACAATATAACCAGTCTTGGACTTTCGATAATTATATCCCCGATGCGATGGTAGGTTGAAACTTCAAGCCAATAGAGCCCGCGCTTATTGCTTGGGTATAGGTAATGAACATAGGAAACTCTGATTGGGAGTCGTTCCAAACTTATAGTCAGGAGTACAACATGTCCATCTGGGACTTGAGTGTAGCTTTTGAAAACAGCTATATTTCTCTCATCCGGAAAATTCGGAAGTTTGCCTATCCTCCATACTCACCAACAATTTTGACGGCCGATTCTTTTCCACAAACGGCCGTCGGCGTCCCCATATTCGTTGTGAGACCGTTACGTGGACAACTCGAAGGCGCAACCCATTCTGTTGTTGAACGACTTCGAATGGATGGAGACAATTCAGTATTTTGGCTTGATACTTCTGGTTGGCTGGACACAGAGTTGGAACTAGAGGGCAGTGCCGAAAATCAGGATTTCTTCCTTGATGGTTGTATTCCCCTCAAAATCCCCATATTATTTCTTGGGGGCGGATTCTGATAATGATGCTAGAGGAGACAAAAGGGTGGCGACTGACGCAGCGGGGTAATCAACGGGTCGCGATCCTCCTTCATTTGCATGTATGTCGATTTCTAGCCCAGGACGCAGAGAAATGCGCCTTTTTGCCGCCAGAAATCTACCAAGGCAAAGCAGCGGACCCAGAAATGGTGCGCTTCGAAGAGTATATTGATGGCGAGCGGGAACGTAAACTCAAAGGGCTTTTTTGGGAGGAATGAAGATCGGATGGTGATAGGACGAGGAGATTGAGGCTGATGACCTGGGGGCAGGGAGCTTAAAACAGTATTGTATATTGGAGGAAGCATAGTTTTAGCCCGGCGATAATTCTCGATGTAGATTTTGGAACCATGTTAATGTCAGAGGTTTTTACGATGACGATTGTTCACAACCATAATAATCCCTGTAATTTAGCAGCCTTTTACACATGGATCCGAAGGTCTACGATACAGTACTTCATACCCCTATGTCGTACAAGCGGAACGCGTTACTGTACAAAGATATGGTCGGACGGAGATTTGTAACGATTGAAACGAGAACATCGGATACTTTTATCGCAAAAGGTTTTTCTAGGTCCGCAAAAACGTTTTAGGACTGAAAGATATAAGGATATCCCTTCCAGACTCAGGAGGGAAGGTACTTTCGTACAGGATGTGCACTCGAAGTGGATGAAATATGGATGAGGCTCAAAATTGTGGAAAAGTGATCTGGTTGGCCAAACGACCATAGTTTATGGGGGAAGATGTTGTATAAATGGATGCGTGTGTCTCACTTTGGAGGATATATTTTTACCTTATCTGTCGAATCTGGAAGCCGACTTCTGACGTACTGCAAATGTCTTTTGACATGGGGTACCGAGAGAATTTCCAGGGGAAGTTCCGTCTGGTCAGGGCCGAATTCTTTCCCCCGCATTATCACAATGCCACTTTGGACTTTGCCGTTACTTCGGGCAATGCGAAACATGGGACGAATTTTCCTAATCTGTGTCGTTTGCCCTCTTGCTCCCTTTAGCTTGTCTGGAAAAGCTAGATTCATTTAGTACAAGACGAAGTTAGTTTTGACGTCAAGGCAGTCATTGAATGTAAAGTTTATAAGCGACTTCGGCCCTTTCAGCATTGTCTGCGTTGGTGAGGACTGAACACGCTGGTAATGTTCACTTTTCTCAGGTTGCCGTATAGCATACCTTTTCTCAGGCATAATAATCATAGGTTTAGTAGGGTGGCTTCAATGTAGAATAGGGTAAAAACCCCTAAAGTTTTACAGATATTATTCCTGCGAGTCAGACGAAGTATTCCTATGCGAGAAAATAAGTCTCTCAGCACCTCTACTTGTAACTCATGTATCTGTATATAGTACGGGACCATTCCCTTGGTAGATGCTATTTTTTCAATGCAATCTAGGCTACTCTCACTAAACCTTTTGACAACAACCTGAACACATACTTCCGCTTTTTCCTTAAAAGACGACAACCTACGACTGCATATCTTGCTGCATTATATAAAATCAAGCAACTTTCATCCTCGCCTATACTCACAATGCGTTTCTCTATGATGAAAGCCTTCCTCACAGCGATTACGCTATTCAGCGTAGCAGCAGAGGCATTGACTTGCCAGAACGATGAACAATGTCCACTCTGTCCTCCACCAAAATTACCAAAATGCTTGTAAGTACTACTCTGTCGAATGCTAGCCTATCAATTTCTTCGTTTGGTGCACTTGGTGGCTAAGACTAATGATTCTTGTTCAGTGTGGCCACTAGTTCAGTTTTCTTAGTTTTAAGGTCAGTTTTAACATCGTAAAACTAACCACAGTTTTAATCAAAATTATAAAACTGAACTGACAAAAGACAGAACTGAACTAAGCAAACTATCGTAGTTTTATAAAACTGAGTGTTTAAGTAGTAATTGTGAGAGGCCAGACCTCGAATAACTCAAAGGTGTGGGTTCAATATTCAATTAAGAACTACGTGGTCTGTAAATACATGTTCCTCCTCTACTCTTATACTAAATGTAGCATTTCCATTGCATTCAACACTGTTCCATAGTATTACCAATCTTCTGCGTCATAGCATTCTATCTTATTCCATGGCGTTCCAGAGGCGGGGTCGCTTAGCTTAGCGAGGGCTCTAGGCCCGAGCCCCACTATGGGTTCTAACCCTCACAGTAATTAAGTCCTGTATATAAATATTCACTTCCCTAATAGATAAAACTTTTAGGCGGTGTTAATAGGCTAACCAGATTATAATAAATTGTTGAAAAGTTATAGTTTAGGCTTAGCAGTATATACTTTCTATACGCTACCTAGGTATCCTTTAGGTGTTTAGGCTAATATACCTTAAATCCTATAGTATATACCCTATAAACTGCCTAACAAAATACCTAACAAAATGCCCTCTAAAACTATGATAACCAGTCAATTTTCTTAGAAAAAACTGAACTAACCAATAGTTTAGATTTTGCTTATAAAACTGACCAAAATTTTGTCTGAACTGAACTGAACTGAACTAACCAGAACTAACCAACTAAATTACTGGCCACACTGTTCTTTTTGCAGGGGTGATTCTCCAAACCCCCCTGAAGGTATTTGCGCATGTAAATAGGCATATTCATTGGATTGGCACTGCGTAGCCCATTTGTTGGGAAGAGTGGGCAACGCTTTCCAATGCCACATAACACCCCCGAGAGGTCGGAGTTGTGGGGGGATAGATTGTAACGTGGTAAATTAACGAGCAATGGATTAATGCGAGGATGGAAAGATTTCCGATTGTCAATGTTGAATCTTGATTTTGGTGAAAGAGATAGTGGTGAATGTGAATTGACGACGTACACAGTACTGTGGGATTGTTGTAGATTCCTTAGATGCCAAAGTTGTTTCTTGTAAATAAGCGACTATAGTTCCTTTGCCATGCCCTCGTGGCAGTTTTTGACACAGATATTGGAATCATGTTAACTCCGCGTCGTCTCGAGAAATACAGGGCAGCGTTTGTGGCAGGTAGTCTCGCAGTGTGTACGTGATACAGGGGTGTGGTTCTAGCAAATATACTGTAGCCAGCCATAGCTTCGTAACATAAACGTGGTAGTCCCAAGTGGTGCTGATGACTCCATTTTATAACTCAATACATCTCACTTAACCTTATCTATTTTGACCTTCTTTAGTGGCGACTAACGAGGGGACCCTGGCGACTACGTAAATACACTACTATGCGTATCTCTATAATCCAATATTTCCTAGTCGCCGTGCTTTTCAGCGCAGCAGAGGTAGCGCCATACACCACAGACTGTCCAGCCTGTGCTTCGGGACCCGTTAAGTGTTTGCAAAGGTTTTTGATTAAGTGAATATGGTAGCTTTGGAAGTCACGGGGAGTGCTTGGACCACCCCTGTTGTATGTA